CCTCTGACCTTTTGTAAGTCAGTCCGTCAGACAGATCAGCAGCCAGGAGTTAACCTCACGAGACTACTCTCACACAGGATTGATTGTAAAGAGTACAAGCCTGCTGTAGGGAATAAACATGAATTCAGTTTACACAAACTGGAAGGCAATATTCGCAAGCAACCTTAGAATATAATCAAATTGTGCACACTTTTAGTTTTTTCTTGCAATAGGTGCAGGATTACAGCTCACGCTGAGCGGGATGATTAGCATGGTGAGCTGTTGGTGCTCTTGTTTGTTTTTAATGGGGTCAGAGAGGAGAGAGAGTGAAATGCCACACTGATCCTCCACTGAGCTGGCCATATGCTCACACACACACACACAGCCTGATTGAGGTGTTAATGATAGAATTTCTCCATTACTGTGTAGGAGAAGCTCACATAAATTCACTGCTGATCTGGCAATAAAATACATCGCTCCCTTATACAAGCATGTTGCCTCTGCTTTGAGGGAAATTGTGCATTTTTTAATCCACTCCCTTTTTTTTTTTTAAGTTAATTCTCATTAGGAACCTGAATAGTTTTTGGTACCGAACAAAAATGTGTCCATAACGCTGGCGATCAAATACTGTCAAGTACCTAGTAAGTTAAATGTTTGCTCACTCACACTTTATAAAGAAAACAAAAATATGTCATGTTTATATTGCTCAATACCGAAACTGAGTTATACTGGCACAAGCCTAGCCCAAGTACATACGGGCATCACCGGCTTCGTCACCTTAGTCACTTTTCCTCTTGCTCTGTGTCACCATCAGCGAGCATCCAGTCATCTGTGCCTCAACATGTAACAGTGAGGCACCCAAGCTGTGTTAATGTATCGGTGGTGTCACCAGTCATGCATTTACACGACCTTTTAGCTGTAAATAACTTTAAAATGAGCTTAAATTAAATGTAACTAATACCAAATAGCTTTATTCATTGGTTTTGTTGTTTGATGTTTTGTTTTGTGTTCAGTCATTGCTCCGTCACTGAATGGATTTTTCTGAAATGTCAGGGAATGATGGCTTGTGCTGCGGTGTTGTGGCATTTTCAGTAGTACACCGAGGAGCCCAAAGAGGTTGTCATTCATTCATTTGTCCATATATCATACAAGAAACCTAATTGGAGTTGATGCTGATTTCTTTGAGTGCATTTTCGGAATCACACTGGTTTCGAAGCTGTCTCTGAGTTGCCCAGTTGAGCGCAGTATGATTTGTTTATTTGTGCTTTTGGCTCGCTTAGACATTGAGGAATCCAGGCTGTTGCTTAACGACACTTCAGCACAGCCAACTTTTTAGGTAACTGGTGATCTGACCTACAGCCCATGGCTTACACCAGACAGCATGCTTCAGTCAGCCAGCCAGCCAGCCAGCCAGCCAGCCAGTCAAGTCGAGTCTGGCTGCGTGTTGTTGCCGCTAAGAGTGGCACTGAGCGCTATGAGTCATCTCTGTTCTGTCTGCTGACTGAAGACACACTGTCTCTGCTCTCCACTCTGCTTCCCTCTCCTTCTTTGCGTCTCTTTGTATCTCCTCCGTCCTACCACAGCTTTGTTTTGGTGTGGGTTGGCCTCTGTTCTTCTTCTTCACTTGGTCTTCCTCTTGAACTGAGGAAACAGTCTTTGCCTTCCCGTTAGACAAAACTAAAAATCTGTTTTCCTCTTCAATAATACTGATTCATTTTGATAGTGCAGCTGTTGTTCTTGTGCTTGTCCTTGAGTTCTTTCTTTTATTTTGTCTTATCATCGCTCATTGTGTATCTGCGGTCCACTTGTGTGTGTGTGTGTGTGTGTGTGCTGCGCTCTGATGCCTTGTTGGTGAAGTTTGAGTTTCTGTTGGTGCCACTTTGCTTTTTTTCCCCTAAACCGCTGTGGCTATCACTGCTCATGCTGACTGGGCACTTCACTTTGCACATTATGTATCACAGAAAACTTAACTGGATTTTGCAGCGGAACAAACCATCCTTAAATAATAAAAGAGCTAAACTTCTTCCTTTTTATTGTACAGCACTTTTAACATTTGTTTAAGTATTTTTCTGGCATTTTTGCCTTATTAGACAGTAGAGCACTTACAGGAAATGTGGGGCGAGAGAGATGCGGGATGCCATGCAATAAAGGCTTGTGGTTGGACTCGAACCGGAGACATTGCACGTACATAGTGAGTCTTAAACCCCCAGGCCACTGGGACAAGAACCCCCAGCACTTTATATGCAATTATTATGACAGTAAACTGAATGTCTTTGGGTTGTGGACAGAGCATTTGTGAAAGTCCCATTGGTCTTCGTGAATTTTTCACCATTTTCTGACATTTTATGGACCAATAACTGACTGAAAAAGATCAACAGATGAATCCACAATGAAAATAATCTTTATTTGCAGCATTATTTTAGTCTTTAATGTAATTAGTGATTAAAATACCCTTTATATTTGGGAGAGAATCTCTCATCCTCAACATGTGCAAAAGTCCAATACGTGATAACTTCCCAATAAAGTGAGCAGACTAGAATGTAAAGTGTCATGTTTTTTTTCTCTCTCATGTTTTTCTCTAATGTTGGATAAATATGCTTGTGAGGCTACAGCCAGGATGAGGGTAGATAGGGGTGTTTCTGAAGTGAAACCAGAGAATTAGACAACATAGATAGAGACGCATTACTCCCAGGCTATTCACGGTATTGAGGCTCTTGTTTTGTCTCTTGTGCTGAAAGTCACTTGATGGTAAACGTCTCTTTCTCTCGCGCGCACACACACACACACACACGCTCTCTCATTCTCTCACACATACTTCTGCGATGTCACACACACAGTCATATTTGCACATTCTTGGCCTGAGAGAAGCAAGCAATTCATGTCTCCTCTGAAAGACCATCTTTTATTCATGTATATATCGTATGGAATTCTCTCCTGACCCACCAGCACTGCTGCTAAATGTAAACACAGCTCGCTATTTATAGAAAATAAGCCCCTTAGTATCCTGCGAAACCCCCGCGTTTTGACAAATGTCAGCTTTTCAAGGATACCGTAAACAACTGTCTGGATTTCCTGTTAAATATATATCTGACTGAACTGATTTTGAATGATACGGATGAATTATGGTATTTTGAATTTGCAAAACTGGCTGCAAACAACATATTGAATACTTGTGTGTCCTTTCTGGTCGCGTTAAGAACACAACATTAACAATTCAGGAAAAAAAAAAACAGAGATTCTGTATTTAAAAGCAACAGCAACGCATTAGGTGATGAGATAGAAGACAAAGGATTGTGTGTCTTACAAATGGATTAAAGGTAATTGTATAACAGTTCCAAAGGGGATTCAGCCTTTTTTAAATGTCTTTTAAAGTATTAGTTACACCTTTCCCATCATGCCTGCTGTTTCTCCAATGCACATCATATCTCCATCATAGCTGTGTATGACCTTAACCGCAACAGGCTTTGTTGGTCGGAGATGTTGCTTCAGGTATTGGGAGAGGACGTGATGTGATATGGGAAGGCTGATTTGATTAACAGATCCATGAGTTTGAAGCATTATATAAAGACAAAATATTAGTTTATTCTACTAGTTTAAAACTAGTTTGTAATACAGTGAAATAGGACTAACTAACTCCAACCACAACCATTTTATCCACTGTATCTGCCATGCAGTAATCAGAAATATACTATTCATGTTACAATAGACCGTAATCTAACAGGAATATCCGCACGTATGAGATTAATCAGCACAGTGCGTTCCGCTGTGTCACCCTTTTTTTTGTCAAACGTCATTTAAAGGATAAACCTGGTTTCTGTCATTGGGGTAACCTCCTGGAGAATGCCGCTTTTTCTCTTCATGCATATGTGTAACCACGTTTCTAATAAGCTTTCTACAAGTTTGGATATGTGTGACAAAAGACTACACACAGTGAGAAAGTACTAAACTAATTTTATAAATTCAGTTACATTTTTGCTTAAAAAAAAACACCTGTCCTCTCACTGTCGGTTTGCTCCCACGCAGACACTCCAAAAACTCAGGAAGCAGCATCTTCTGTCAATAACACTTGAAATAAGAAAGCTATGCTTGCTAAAAAAAAAAAAAAATGTTTTACAACCTGGTTACTTAATAGCGCTGTGTATTGGCAAGAATCTGGCCATACGGGTTACAATACAGGGTTACGATTCCTACCATTCCTAATTTTAGGAAAACTGTCAGTATAGAGAAGAAAAAAAAAGGTTCACTTTTATGGAATAAGGGTTTCACTTTCTCTCCTTTTTCCTCCGTTAGGCTCGTAATGTAAACACAGGAGAGCTGGCTGCTATCAAAGTCATCAAACTGGAACCAGGTGAGTTATCGTGACTTTCATTTCTTGTCTTTTTTTTTTCTTCACCTTTATCTCCATTTGTGCAGCCAGATCCTCTCTTTCTCAACACCAGCCTGTCTCTAAATCACCCTCATCCTTCTCTTTTTCTCAATGCGCTCTCCTCACCATCTTTTTCCTTTTAGCTTTTTTTCCCATTCTGTCACCGTCCTTAACCTTGTCTCTCTCCCCATGCGTTGTTCGCCCTTTTTCCTTCCCTCCTGCTGGTTTTCCATCTTCCGCCCCTCCACTAAAGAAAGGATAGCATAAAAAACTTCAGATGTAACAGAGTGTGGAAATTCATCATCACCCTGTTTCTAATTAATTGAGGTCTTCAAGTGTGGAATTTTAAAAGAGGAAAATATGTTGTAACCTGCTCTGCTGCTCTTCATCCTTTTGCCCTGGCTTCCATGAGTCTGCCCTAACTCTCCAACATAAACACAAATGCATGAACAAACACTTCTTCTGTTTTCTGTTGTTTTACAAATAATAATACGCATATACTATATTATCACCATAGTAATAGGAATAAGAATTATAATGTGTGCTTACATGTGTGCTCACTCCAGGTGAGGACTTTGCTGTCGTCCAGCAGGAGATTATAATGATGAAGGACTGTAAACACTCCAACATCGTAGCCTATTTTGGCAGCTATCTCCGGTAAGAGTGTGTGTGTGTGTGTGGGCCCGAGTGTTCGATACCACTGCAGTGATTTACTTATGATTGCTTTTGAGGTGCATGATATCAAAGACTTTTACTAGAACATGTATCTGTGTGTGTGTTTTGTCGGAGAGAGAAAAATGAGCGTGTGTGTGTGTGTGAGAAAGTAGAAGACCGTTGGAAGTGTGTGAGGGGAAATTGATTTTGTGAGTTTTGTGTGAAGGTGTATTGATGCAGTATTATCCTTGCAGGAGAGATAAGTTATGGATCAGTATGGAATACTGTGGAGGAGGTTCTCTGCAAGATATCTATCATGGTAAGAACAACATGTGCACACACACACTCACACACAGACACACTCACACACTCGCACACACACATTTTGAGCTTAACTGTGCTGTTGTTTTTGTTTGTTCCCTTTCTCACTCTGTGATATCCATTCATCTCTTCTCTTTTCTCTCTATGTGTATGTGTTTGTCTCTCTCCTTGTTTACTCCTCCAGTAACTGGGCCTTTGTCAGAGTCACAGATAGCCTACATGTCACGGGAGACCCTGCAGGTAGCGTATGCGGTGTATTTATTGTCCGTGAAGGAGAAGGAGATTAGATTGGTTGTCTGCTGAGCTGCTTGACTCTGTAAAATGATCAAAACTTGGACATCAAAATCATTAATGATCTTCATTGGCTCTTTTGCTTCACACTGACACGTAGCATTGACTCTGTTGAGTGAGAGTCAGAAAAGAAAAGTCTACTTTTCTACGTTGAGCTATTTAAGAAATTTTAGTTCAATATTGTATGGTCCAGTACATTTTTGCTCTGCAGATGCATTTAAAACTGGAATATTATCAATTCAAATTGAAACATAAATTACAAATATTGGGAAATTATTCCCCAAAGTGCCACAGCTGCAGACAATGACAGAGGAAATACTGTAAAGTGTTAGCATTGCACACTGCAGCCAGGCATCTAGCAGACACAGATGATGTGTCAGTGCTGCCAACTGTAAATCTCCCAAAGATTTGATTTTCATTTAACCAACAGATGTTTCTAGTGAAATATATCAGGATATCTCCTTTTACAAATATTTTTAAATGGAGTTCTGTTCAGTTTTTTTCTGCAATAACAACCAATGACACTAGTTGCTGTGTGATTCTGTTTACAGGGTTTATACTACCTACACAATAAAGGCAAAATGCACAGAGACATCAAGGTGAGTTTGGAGAAAACTATATGGAATATGCTTTAATGTTTAAAGCCTTTCCAAGTCACATGTCAAGTGCAAAGGGGAATATTCTGTATGTTACTTCCTGTTTTTCAGTTTTTTCTGTATAGTGTAATTCAGTACAATGGCAACACTACAGCCTCAGACACACTCAGAAATTGGCACACA